CAACAAGTCAGATATTTATGTACATGTTTGCTCGTTTAAGCTTAGAGAAGAAACAGCATTTGATCATTCATCATTTCACATTTCGTATTTGTCACTAAAACATTTTTTATTGCTCCATCAACATCAATACGATGTTCTAAAAAGGTCCTAGCAAGCATTTCCAGCCTGTGCTTCGCCTTGGCGAATTTATTTGACAACCTCACGCCGGTATATAAAGATCAATCATTTAAATCATTGATGTTATAATTTAGTATATTTTTCAACCTACCATTCTTCAGTTTTGTACATTCAAATGTACAAATCAAAGATGGTTATTAAGATTATTGTCTATCCAGGCTTTAGTAAAAGTATTGAGTATTTCATATGTAAACATTGAACATCTTCATTTATCCTGGTATCTCAACAAATAAAGCAAAAATTATTAAAACACAAAATGCTAATATATTTTTAACGCAATTTTTGTGTCAGCGCTAACAAAATTCGCTGAAAAATTATGAACTTGTGGAATTCACCGTGACAATGTCACTCTTTAGCATACTACTTATTTTCTGGGTGAATTTCTGTTCCCCACTACTTAAATAAAAAGGCAGAATAAAAAAATATTAATATCATAATTACATATAATAGGCGTTATGTAACCGACATTCCCGAGATACGAGGGACGACCGCAATTAAAAAATTTATCTTAATTTTTAATTTAAATTAATTTTCCATAACTTTTGGCTATTGGTGGCACAGGGTTATGAACCCGAGCCTTCCGAATGTCCGAACGCAATGCTAACTACTTAGCTACCGCGGCCGGTATCATAATCACAACACATTTCATCAAGCTGGCTGTCGAAATCTATATTCAACTCCAAGGTCCCCTTTTCAAATACATAGGCAGCTCTCAGCTGTTAGTTGATTTCGTAAAACAGCTGATAGCTTCCACACTGTTCTATACTGGGTCTAACCAATGCAACCAAACTGACTCATTTTCATGTTTACACATTTTGCGCACAACCCTCTTCGTTTAGTAATTGGGATCGTTAAAACATGAGCAATCATTGACTAACAACAGAGTGATACCGAGACCCAAGTTGATCCAATATTCAGGGGGTACCTATTGGATTACTTCAGTGGATTATATAACCTAATTTTTACATGATAGTGCCGAAAACGGGTACCGGTGCCCATCTCTGATACATACATATGTACATGGTTATCCATTTTGTGGTTTCGAAAATAGACGTAAGTAAAATGCGTTAAAAATAATTTATTTATTGCAGAGCTTGAACCTTGGCATTATATGTAAAATACTACATTATTCAAGTGACCGCCTCTCGAATTTTGCATACCTCGATCCGTTTGAGATAATTTTGCCCACATTGGCCGGAGTTGGTTCCCAAGTGCTCAAGAGTTAAAAGTTACGTGGCCGGGAAACTTCTCTCGCAATAAAGCCACATTCACTCCTTGTGACTTGGTCGTGTTCTTCAATTGCAGGACAAACGCTTTTAATTTACAGTGACAATCTCGATGTTGTCGTTTTTAAAGAAATAAAGTCCAATCATAACTCCGAATCAAATAGCACACCAGGCAGTAAGCTTTTTGTTTTTTCTTTCTGGGTATAATGGTCTCTCTTCAACTCTTTGAGGATTCTATGTGCCCCAAAGGTGACGATTTTGCTTATTTATGTATCCTCCGAATGAGAAATGTGTTGTGACTTCAGTTATTGTGTGAGCTGGACTTTATATAGATGTAAGTAGAAGTCCAAGTGCAAAATACTCCATAATGTGCCGTAAGAAAGTCCAAGCTCTTGACAACGTCAAGTAATATAAACATGGCCATTTTCAAAAATGCCTGACATATAAGTAAAACAAAACATATATGGCTTGACAGATGAGTTGGACAGATGTCAAAATACAGCCCTATACTTCTGAAGCTACGAACTGGATTATCTATATAATACAGTAAGGCAAGTCGATTTGTTTGGAGAGATTTGTGTAATGATGATCCCAGCTGATTCGTAGTGGCAAGAATCTATATTTAGCTTCAATTAAACTATTGCAACGTTTTAGATAATTTACCTGCGGGGGCCTTACAAACGCGTCCGCGATAGCCGAATGGTTAGCTTTACGTCATTCGGAAGGCTGGGATTCGTGTCCTGATCCGACCAACATCAAAAATTATAGAAAATTTATATTAACAAAAAATTAAGTAAAAGTCTTTGATAGCGGTCACCCTTCGGCAATGAATGTCAACGCTTCCGGGAGAATTTATGACATGAAATCTTATATCTCATTTTTCCTCATAAAAAACACTTAGCCGCTCGGAGGCGGCTTAGTATAAATTGGAGGTCCTTCCATTTCTTGTATATATAACAACAACAAAAGTTGTGTAGAGATTGAAGAAAAAAAATCCGTTAACTCAATAACTGACTGAACTCTTACGCAGTTTTACAAAAGTTGACATGGCATAAACAAAAGCGAGCTCTCAGTACTTGGCACACCGGATTGACGAAACCTTAAAGGTTTATAATCAACTAACTAGCTAGATAAACAAACAATACTTTTACTATAATATTATATTTGATGAGCATCAAGCTAATTTGTTCGGCATTGGCGCGTAGACATTGAACTCGACTGTTTTCATATGCTTTATAAGGTACACAAATTTCATTAGTTTATTTGGAGTGAAAGTATTTTTATGGAATACTTAATTTGGATGTAGGAAGTATGAAAAATTAATTACATTACATATCCATTTTCTGTAACCGATTCAATACTGTGCTACAAACACTTGCTGAATCCTCAATTTGAAGAAAAAACTAATAAATTTGTTAACTTTCCAGCAAATTAATGGTTTGCTTCATTTGATTGGGGCGGCAGACTACAAATCAGGAGCCTGCTTTCTCCCTAAAAAATCTTAAACGATGGGCAAAACTCTTTGTATGAAAGAAAAATTTTCTGTTTCTTACTATCCTGAATGTTTTGATTTGAGAAAGTGACCACTGTGACTGTGGTTCTGCTTACTGCCTCGTTTTGAGTTTTTTAACCTCTCATGACAAAATTTTCATATTGAGTATTATGATGTGGCCTTCGTGTCATAGTTCGGGATTTATTTAAAAAATTATATTTACACAGACCTGGTGTAACTAGCGGATACACCAATTGGTGTGAGTGGGAGATGATTTTTTAAATTGGTATTTGAAGTGTTTTTTTATTTACAGATTTTACATGGACAAAAACTTAGTTTTAGCACGAATACCATACTGGAATTAGATGGCTAATTGCAATAATTATGCATCGTAGACAAAATATATATATTTTTAATTGCATATATTTATTGAATCTGCTCTCACATTTGAAGCTCAACAATCGGTTATCAAATCTTAATAAAACTATGTTAAACTATATTAACTCATTAGCTAGGAATAGCCTGCTTGTTCAATGTTTTTCTCTACCAGGGTGGAAAACCCTATCTCTTAACGAGGGTTCGACAAGGAAGGACAATTTATTAGACAAAGTTATGCTAACGTATTTTTATGTTCCGATTGCTATCTATTATTTAATAATATTATACGTATGCCTAGATTTCTATGTATATTTCAATTATATATGTATTTGAAATGGTGCGGCCGTTATTATCATAAAAGTTTTAGATTGGAATCTTTATAATACATTTATATTAGCCTAGATTTCTTCTTTAAAATCTAATTCAAACTGGTAGACTTCAGCATGAGTTGCAGATTTTCAGCGCAAATTTGTATAAGCTAAGCGCCTGCCCAAGTTTGTATGCGATTTCGGTAGCTTTTGTTACATTGATGAGTTTTAAAATATGCAATATTTCTGGCTTTGATTCAAAAGTGATGTGCTTACACTTCGTTAACAATTATGTTAATTATCAATTAGTACAAGGTGTACTCTTAACACCTATATGGCATATAGCATCCTGCAGAGATGAGATACTCCTCTTTTATATAATAATTAACGTCTACATTGAAGCTACTGTTGGATAAATAGCATTCAAAAATTTTGTGGATTTGATTGCTTAATTTCATAAATTAGACCCACACGCCACACCTTGTCAAGTGCTTAAGTCTCATATAGAAAAACTGCCAAACCATGTCATTTGAACTCGAAAGCTTTCCTTATTTCCTTATATATACAATTGGCGCATTGTAACCGCTGAAACGATTTTCGGCCGAACTCCTCCTCCAATGTGTGATGTGCGTATTGATGTTTTCCCAACAAATGGAGTGATCTCCAGTTTATACTAAGCCGTCTCCGCACGACTGATGGTTTTTTCGTGAGGTGCCTTTATTTGAAGCCATAAATACACTCGGAGGGGTGACCGCATATAGAAAATTTAAATATTTTTTATTTAAATAAATTTTTTATAATATTTGGATCAACCAACATCCAGAGCCAGAACCCTGGCATTTCGATTTCGTGCACGAATTTCAGAAAAACGAAACTGGTGAAAGGAAGCACTTTTTTTTATACTCATACAGACTGACAGACAGCAGAGGTACATGGCTTGTCATTCCGAAATTATGATCATAGTCATTTTAAAAAACATAATCATTCTAAAATTATAATAATTTTCTGATCAGTAATTTTGTTAAAGCAGGGTTTATCATAATTGTGCCGGTTTAGGAAAATATCGTATTTGCATAACCGATTCAGGATGCTTTACGACAAGGCATTCGAAATTTCGTAAATAAATAAATAGATGGTACATGATGTACATATATATATACGTGTACATACATAAATATATTTATTCATATTTATGTATATGTACATGCCAATGTATGTATGATACAATATATTAATATATGTACAAGTTTACAAACGATATGCAATAATAATTGTACAATAGTCGTAAGAGTACATCACACGTCTGCAAGGTCTACAAATTGTCTTAATTGGCATAATTACACCACATAACACATGCTCAATTCTTATTTCTCAATTCTAAATTTGTTGTATTTCAATGGCTCATTGTGCTTATTTCAGATTAATTCATGGAGACAGTGACGAGTCTGTACGCTGTTCGTATTGCTCCGTTTTGAATGAGAACGACTTACGTATATCTTTCGAAAATACCTGCACCGATTCTCTAGTGACAGCATTCGATGATGAGGCTTTATTAATATGCGACCAAGGAAACGAAATGGCAAGAACAAAGGTTTATTTTACGTTGATAATGCAGGGCTCATTAAAATCATTTTTAAATATCAATTATTTTTTCTGTTTATTTGTCTCTAACAAAAACTCACCCTCATAAATGTTATTTTTTTTATCACTCGGTCTTATAGAGTATATTTAAATGTATCTTTTCAAATTATTCTATACTTTTTTGCATACTTGCACTATCCGTATATACACTGAAATAATGTCAATTTTAATTATGTTTTGTAAATAGGTTCACTTTGATGACGTGTCGTTATATGGGACTCCGAAAGAGGAGCCAATGCCTTCCATCCCCGTTGTTTCGGAAAAGGTTTCTGCAAATTTTTTAAAAAGTCAATTGCAATCATGGTTTCAACCGACAGACAATCGGTTGGCTATGAAATTATTTGGCAGCCGGAAGGCGCTGGTCAAAGAAAGAATACGGCAGAAAACTTCCGGACATTGGGTAATTCACCCTTGCAGTTCATTCAGGTTAGTGCAGGAATAAAAATTTCTTTTGCTATATTTATTTCTAAAATATATATATTTTTTATTTCAGATTTTATTGGGACCTTTGTATGCTTTTATTATTAGTAGCAAATCTTATAATCCTGCCAGTCGCAATATCATTCTTTAATGATGATCTGAGCACAAGATGGATTGCCTTCAACTGCCTAAGTGATACAATTTTTTTAATAGATATTGTAGTCAATTTTAGAACAGGTAAGTGTTTCTAATCATATGAATTAAATTAGGTTATTTACGAGTATATCGACTCTAGCACTAAATTATCATTTGCTACAAAATCCAAAACTTTACATCTTCAGTACAAGGTTTATACTGAGGGTTCGAGGGAGCTTGCTTAAAAAAACACATTCCTTGCTATGCTAGTACGGCCGCTTTTCAAATTCAAATCAAATCGAAAGGAAGCTATCGCTCGCCTTTCTACAAGGCGAGCTTAAAAAAATTTTAAATCACAGCATATTCACTCACCTTTCGCATCATTCTTTTAATACTTTAAATCATATTTTACATACTACTCTACAAAAGAATTATTTATGCTCTAAATTTGGACTACTTCATTTGTCAACACACTTAACATACACGAAAATATTTCAATATCCCGCCAGGCCTTCTCTGTGAGGGTGACTATATCTTTAAGTTCAGCTATGGGGTTTTTAAAATTATTTAAAGAAAATAGAGTTTCGTGTTCGAAAACTGGAATACCTAACTTGTTTACAAATTGTAGCAACCGCTAAGTCTGTCATTTGCCAATTCCAGTTGTCATCAAGTATCTTAATAACGGTATTAACTTTAGCTAACGATTTTTATTTTATTTTATTGTTTTTGGCAATTTGGTCATTATTTCATAAATTAATTTAACGATTGTGTTGAATTTTTTTTATAATAATTACCTCACTTTCACTCTCTATGTTCCTGAGTTAACTATCCGATATATTTTATTATCTCAGTAGGTTCTCTCAGTTTCAAAATCCAATATACTTCTTCAATGTGTATGTATTATATTAAATATTACTTTAAATGTGAACCAATAATTTTTAAATTAGATTATCTTGAACAACTTGTAAAATTTTTATATTTTAATAATTTATCTACAGATATAATTATATTATATATATATTTTTCATGGCAGGTATAATGCAACAAGACAATGCAGAACAAGTTATACTGGACCCTAAGCTTATAGCTAAGCATTATTTAAAAACATGGTTTTTTCTGGACCTAATTTCTTCGATCCCTCTTGACTACATTTTTTTGATTTTCAATCAAGTAAAGGAAAATATTTTCTCTTTAATCGAAAGGAAGTTTTAACGACATATTTCATTTTATAGGACTTCTCCGATTCCTTTCAAATACTTCACGCGGGACGTGCTCTACGTATCTTACGTCTGGCCAAGTTACTTTCTCTCGTTCGATTGCTACGTCTTTCAAGACTTGTGCGATATGTTTCACAATGGGAGGAGGTATATGTAAGTATGCAATTTTAATGAATCTTTTAAATGGATTATATACGTTTGAACTTGAATATGTAAATTGTTAGTTTCAACGGTTTATTGATATATAGTACTTATTGAATATATATGTATTTTAGAGTTTATATTAGCTTTTTTTTTTGTATTGAAGGACCTAAAAACACTAACGTTCAAAGCGGTGCTAGAAAACAGTCATTCTTAATAATTACGTTTGTCAGGTTATTTAGGAGAGTCAGTCAGAAAGCAGTCATCTAAAGTGCCACGCCTCAATTTTAATACGAGAGCACTAAAGATTTTTTTTTTCATTAAAAGTAGGGAGAAAGTGCAAGGTAATTTAAAAAAAAAAAAAAAAAATCTGAACACACAAAAGACTTTCATTGCCAAAAGCATGACGTGCGCGATTAAAATTTCAATAAATTTTCTGAAAATAGAAATGTTATTAGACCGTTAGTCCTTATTCAATTACGGAGAGTTCTGTATTATGTCAGCATACATGCATACAATTTAGTTATGTGCACATTGTTTGTCTGAAATCTCGAATCCACTCGTTGTGCGATTACCGAAATATACAGTTAGTCGAATTATACAGCTATTTATGAATTTCAAGTGTATTGGCTTCTGTATGTTCTTAAAGTGTTTGATGATTTTGGTCTATACTCATGGTCGGATTTCGTTAATTATTACCTAATATAAGAACGTAGAAAAATTCCTTAAGTAACCTTAATGTCTGAAGCTGTTCGTCATGCATAACACTGCTTTGGTGTCAAGCTAACAGTAATTCATTCTATTTTTTTTTTTTTTTTTTTTTTTTTGAAATACGTGTATGTTGGTAAAGCCCATAAATATGCAAAAGTCAAAAAATATTAAATTTATAGACTTTTCTATTCATGAATTTCATAAAACATTCATTTCACACCTACTGAACCCGTTAATAAAGTAAAATATTTGCATATAAATTATACATTTTCCTATGTTTTATGTAGGGGCTTTTAGTGGTAAAAACTGCAAAAATTTTGTGGGTAAAATACTAAAAAAAATTAAATGTTTAAAACATAAAACTTTGTTATTTACATTACTTATTCTTGAAACTTGTTCATAATTCAAAAAATATAGCTGCTGGATTTTAAGTGCATTTTGCCCTCAATGTAATATTGACCAGGCCTTTCGGAAAATAAAGATGTAGAGTATCAAAACAAAAAGACACAAAAAAGAATTTAGGTAACAAGTAAATGAATTAGCTTTTATCCATGAGGAGCTAAGGGAAAGCAGATTAGTTTGACATTAAAGTTAAATAAGCTTTATTCTTTTTTAGTATATATAAGATTGATCAACCAATTGTTTACGTGTAACTTTTTTTCGGAGTTGTCGATGTAACGCCTAATTAAGTAGAATAGTAAGAAGTGTGACTAGCCTTTAGTAGAGACTCCAAAATGTTAAGTTAAATTTACCTATTACCCGAAATATGCATATGTAAAACGAAACCAACATAATTGTTGTAAATCAGAAACTAGAATTACAAGAAAATTAAGACTTTTAAAATCGAAGATCCTTAATTGATTGATCAAATTGATAACTTCAATTAACATGAAAAATTAAGCCTATGATCGAAAGTGATTTAGTATTTATATGAAAAGCTTTAAACAACCATTTCCTTCCTCCCCAAGCTTAGTCTACATACATATAAAATCTAATTTAAATTAAAATAAATTTCATATTTTATCAAGCATATACATACATACATATTTTCTTAAAATAGGTTGCTTAAAGTATGCATTCTATTTAAGTGTTAAATTTCTTGAACAAAAATTCTAGAATAACGCAAAAAAGTTATGAAAGAAAATTTTCCTCAGATACATATCATAATGTAACTTAATCAAGAGAGGCGTGGCAGCACTTATTATCCTATCTACTCATTTCACAGATATATTTCTTAAATAAATATAAATATAATATATACACATATTATTTTCAATAATATATAATCAAATTTTTAATACTATATTCTCTTTATCTGTATACATTTTTAATTTCATTAATCATTAAAACTGATTTATCTGCTTTCGGTACGAATCACATATGAAAATTGTATATTCCTAAAATGATCCAACGAAATTAAAAAAACAAAAGAGCTTTAAATACTCGCATAGCGATATATTAGTTTGGAAAATTTTAAGAGGGTTCTAAATTTTAAGCTGCCTTTAAAAACCCATCTTTGTATTTTTCACTGAAAAAAAAAATTACGAATAATTTGAACAAACAAGAGTGGAGCCAAACATTTACACATACGTGTAAGTGAAAAGCTTATTAAATCTGTGGCACACTTGGGTACCTTAATGATAAGCATGGAGACCTACATACATTTCTCCACTTAATTATTTCCACTGGAAACCTTAACAAATTCATTCTCCTCAACCACGTATGTACGTACATTTCTGTGCGTTCTTACAATTAAATATGAATAAGAGAGTACGAAAATATACAACAACAAAATAGGTACATATCAAAAAAAAAAACGCAGAAAAAATTTTGTAACGACAGAATTAGAAGCAAAAACGCATCTTTTGTGTATCCAATCACGATTCCTAAGGAAAATCACATTTTATATTGTACAAACACCACAGTGAAATCGATCTGCATAGACGTTAATAATATTATATACTGCGTTACGTACAACATTTCTGTCAAATAATAAATAAAAAGTTAATACATGCACACATACATACATATATACATACATACATACATAAATAAATACCAATATGATTAATACATATGTACTTATCCACTCTACTATATAAATTAATAATCGAGAAATATGCAACCAGAAAATTAGCTTATTGGGGATTATGTGTATGTATGGTTCTAGATTCTGCAGAATTTGCAAAAAAAAAGTGCTGATCGAAGAGGGAGAATGCATAGAAAAGACAAAGATGGCTTGACTAAAAGCAACCTCATTTTGAAGGTAACCCAATCAACAATTTTCAACATTTTTAAATGCAACCCATGATTGATTAATTCATTATAATTGATTGATTAATTGATTGCTATTATAGTTAAATATTATTGAATCACTAACGAGGAATGATTTACCCTATTTCAAATTTTTCTTTTGTTAGTTAACATGATTGCTTCCTTTTAAGTTAATAATTTACATATAAATATTTACTCAGTCTGCCGTTTAGATTGACGAGAACCTATTTTGATTCGTACAAAATTTCAATTTCAACTGCTTCTTTACTTGTAACGCACTTCCTTACACACGCATTACTTACCATAAGTATGTATGTATGAGTATAATTATGATGGCGTGGCATAGCAATGCAGCATTTTTCCCTTCTTAGGTCAATGTTCAATAAATATGAGCCAAATACATACATACAAATGTAAATAAACATGTATGTACATATATGTATACATATGTATGTGGACAATGGCTGATATATGTACATACGTATGTATTATATTATATAAATGTATGTATAAGGAATACATACACGCGTATTAATAAATACAATTAAAGGATGGACAGAAGGAAATTTGTTAGCTCGCTAAGCATCACGTCAACCCCTTACAAATGCTTTTGCTTCTTTTCTTTTTTTTTTTTTGAGCACACAAATATGCTTACATACAATACATATGTACATATGTATGATATGTATGTCCATACTTATTATACAATTAGCGCTTGGACAGATTGTGTAATTTGAAGCAAACAGACATACATACATAAATAACTACATATGGATGTTGTTGGTGCAACACATACATATCGTACTAAACATATTGTATATTGTACTTACGTACTTTATATGTATGTACGTGTATGTATACTATATACATATACATATGTGACATACATATGTGTATATGTATATGTATATTATGCATATGAATGCAATGCATGTATGTATATGCCGCTTTATAAAACATACACACGTATACATATATATGTATATGCGCATATATATATACATATACATATATACATACATATATGTATGAAAGTGTATGTAAGCTTAATAGATTGCAGGCAGTTTTGCATTCATTAATAAACATGTGTTTGTACATAATGTACAAAGGACTTTCAATAAGTTATGCTATGTTTTTTTGTTTTTTTTTTTTTTGAATTGAGTTAAATTTGTTAAATCCAGTTTGACTTCATTATTTTTGAAACGAAATATTTTTGTACATACTATGTATATGGGAGTATGTACATATTGTAAATCAGTTCAATTGTTCATAAAAGGCAGTTATCACTTGTTATGTATTGTATGTATGTATTATGTATGTATTGTATTATGCAATTATGCAATATATGAAATATTATGTTATTGCTAATATTCATATTGGCATACGTGTATTTATTTTCTTATTTTACATACATTTGATATACATACGTACATACTACAATATATACTAAATATTAAATCATACATACTTTTATTTATCAAAATGTTTGCTTTCGCGCATCAAAACAAATGCTATTGTTGATTTTTGCTAATATTCAGACAATTTGCTCAAAATGTAAGTTTACTTTAATAAACCTACATACTCGTGTGTATATATAATACATATAACAATATACATACATATGTATGTAATTGTGTGCGTGTATAAATATCGTAATAAATAAATAATCGTATTAATACTATTACGTAAGAGCCGTTTTTATTCATTTTATTGTATTGTATTGTAATTATCGTATGTATGTATGTAATTGCGATGCGTCGTGATACACTTCAAGCTTTTATTGTGCAGCTTAATTTAAACGACATTGTACATATTCAACAAACATATAACATAAATATGTGTACATAAAACTGCTACTTTAAACTTTTAGAATTTTAGCTATCGAGTGCGCACCTTTCGTAGCTTTTGTAATGCTATATAAAAAATATATACATATATAATTTTTTTTTTTTTGAATTTAATAACATGCCTAAAATATTTGCAAAACAAAGATACAGAGTTAATGCGATCAGCGGTGCATACGTGTATGTACAATATAAAAGTATTAGTAGTGAGTGCAATGTTTCCACCTACCTACAACAACAAATGTAGCATATCTGTATATATTGTTACGATTTTACTGAATCAACCTCGATTATTTTCTAGATCCTTCGGGTACGATCTCTGGATTGTTAAATAAAAACTCGCCAACTTAATTTGCAGTTTCTTTCGTTATAAAGATTCTATCTAATGTCCTTTATTTTCTCAGTAATTCACAATTCAATTATACTGCACTTTACTATTTATAATCACTAACATCAACTTTCACAATTTCCTCTACTTAAATGTAATTCCCAACGCGTTCACTTTACGTCTTCACTGATGTTAACGCCAACCAATTTGCTTTGTCACTGCTTGACTTGCAGCTGAGTGTCGCCTTTATATAGCAGTCGGCTGCTCGCAGACGAAAGCGTAGAAGCATCGAATTGTTCGCTATGGAAGGTTCTTGTTTTATCGTACTAGTTATCGGCTTCTCTCTTTCATCTGGCATTCGCCTCGCATTTTCGCAACAATATGTATATAACTCAGAATGTCAAGAAGATCCAAGCGACAATTTGATCCTCAGTTAGGGGAAGCAGACTCCTATAGCCACTGTAAGAAAAAAATAGGAATTTTAAATATAGAAAATGAATCAAGGGAATCAAGGGTTAATTAAAATGCCCTGTTGAAGGAATGAATGAATCTGAATGAGGTGAAAAACAAAATTTATAGGTAAAGTTTCTTAGATCATTAGATATTTTGAGATTTAAACCATTCATTAGTTCCTCATCGATTTTTGATGTTTCAGTTTTAGCAATGGAAAATAATCTTTTCAACCTTGACGACTGAAGAGAGGAAGTAGAAATGTCAGAGTTTGGCGGGGTATAACTGGCAACAATATACATATATCTATTTATTTAGTAATTAAACCTATTTTAACGCAAAGAAATTCCATTGCCATTCCATAAGTACTCCACCACCAATTTTATTTAAGTGGTCATCTCTAAAATCTACAAAGTTCTTTCCTAAGATTTCAGAGTTGAAGACATCTAGTTTAAGCCAAGTCAAGATTTTATAGTCGCAATTTAAGCCTTGCAAATATAAGTCTTTCAGCTTACTGTTCAAATCTCTTGTTGCTTTAAATCAAACTCTCGATCAAAAGTATCATTCGGCCAAAAGGAAAGTTTAGATATTTCATGGGAGAAATTGAACTTCCGAATATCCAAACTGACTGTATTTAATTTGCCTGATATATAGGATCGCACGTCATCCGCAGTTGTATCTTTTGCAAACCGCGATACAAAATGGTCTTCCTTTTCGGAAGAACAACCAGCTTTTTTCTTCTTTGGTTCCAAGGCCGAAAGAGGTGCTGAAGGAAGTAAGCTGCTTAGATGCAGTCGAAGTGGTAGTAGGAGAAGGGGCAGGTGCAGAGGGAAGTGGACTTGAAGTCAATGAAGTCCAATGTCTTAGCGGTAGCTCTAGTTACAACTTATAGGGTTTGGAAGATTGTGCTGCTCAGGTCAAAGGGAATTTAATGGCATTAAGTCTTTATTTAAATTCGGACTGATTAATGAATTTATAAATAATATTATGAAAAAGTTATAGAAGCACTGAAATAAGAAATAAGAAAACTACGTTTCGTATATTGGACACTTAGGGGCCAATCAAACGAACATAGGCACCGCTTACCCGATTATAACCGAGTTAACAACAGCTCGCCATTCATTTCTTCTTTACTTTATTTGGTATAAATTGACAATACCAAGTACATCCAGGGCTTCTTCTTCCCTGCTTCCACTGGCGGGTACTCCATGGATAACATTCAAGACTGGAGTATTCTTATGCATCCGGACCACATGATCTAGCCATCACAGCCACTGTCTCTTGATGCGCTATACCAATGAAGCCATATATCTCATACAGCTCAACGCTCCATCGATTGTTGTCATCAACCATGCCTCCGTACCATACGAGCAAGACGGGAATAATTAATTGGCTGCTATTGTTGTTGGTGTTAATGCTGGTTCCCGGATAGACGAAGTTATCTACGACTTCAAAGTTATGACTGTAAGCAGCCGAGTTGCGAATACGATGACTATTTGTTGGATGACAGGATATATTTCGTCTTGCTCTCGGCGCGTTTGTTGAAGCCAATGATGTCAATGTCATCGGCGTACGCCAGCTGTTGGACACTATATTCGACTCTGCAGCTCGTATTATTTTCTCCAGCAAAAAATTAATGAAGTTAATCGATAAAGAATCGCCCTGTCTGAAACCGCGTTTGGTATCGAACGGCTCGGAGAGATCTTTCCCGACCTTATGGTGTTGCAATGAAACATCTGTTTCATCGTCATAGATTGGGGAATCGGGCTTACCTTCTCCAGGTGTTCCATTTTCGCTCCCATTTAGTAGACTGGAGAAGTTTTCTCCCCATTAATGAAATTTTCGCATTAATAAAAAGGAAAGAAAGAACAAATCCCACTAAACGACTGAAATTTGTGGAATGACATTAACATGGACTGCAGGAAGCATATAATACTTATATATGTATGTATGTGTGTATGATGAAAGGTAAATAAAAAAGCCAGTACATAAGTACATGCATACTAGGAACTACAACTTTTTATTATTATACACCACATAAAATAGATAATTAGCTCGCACCAAATATTATATACCCGATAGAAGTTTATTGAAAATTTAAGGTTAGCCAACAAGTATTTAAATAGTCCCGAATCAGTTATGTATGTATACATAAGTAAAGCTTTGCAACTGCTGAGGTGATTTTCGGCCTGCCCCTCCAATTAGTGGAGTTCGATAGATGTAGATTTGTAACTGTTGTTCTAAGTCCATCCAGCTATAAAGTAACATAAAATATAGTGTCCTATACAAAAATCACATCTTTGGCTATGCCGAGGGATCTATAACATTCTTAAGAATATCCTGATTAGCTGATTTTGGAAGGTAATATTTCTTTATTAAAATCTCGAAATTTTAGCATATTTTAGGCTGGATATCATGAAAGGGATATTCTCTTAGTCTAGGAAAATATACCACAATAGGAAAAGATCTCCGAAGCCCCTATATATTGTATATATGTTCATAGATTGTTATTGTTGTTTGAATTGAATTGACGAATGCAACCGTGATGTTATTGCTCTCCAGTCAATTTGGAAGACTAAGAGAATGCTCCAAATAATATAATCTATCCGTCAAAGAGAAGTTCCACATTACCAAAAAATTAATTATTGCACAGTAAATTTCTTTTTTTTTGTTAACTAAAAGTCGTTTCAATAGATAAATACTATTAAAGTATTTGTTAAATAAAGCTTTTGTTGCTCTTGCTAGTATTTTAGTTTTCAAGATTTTTGTATATATATGCTAAGTACGAGGATATAATTAATTTTACATTTTGGATTTAGTCTGGTTAAATAATATAAAAATAACTTTCAATTACAAGACATACATTTTTCGTATCTTTGAATTTGATTGCTTTTATATTGTAAATATATGTACATATGTATGAATAAGTTCCTCCTTCAACTTGTGCTTTTGCGTCTTGATGTTTTTCCAAAAAATATAGGGACCTACGATTTATAGTACTAAGCCACCTCCATACAGCTGATGGTTGTTTTTGTGCTTTTATCTCGTTTCATAAATATACTCGGAGGGGTTGACAGTCCCTGTCGAGGAACGGCTGCGATTAGGAAATTAACTTCATTTTTTATTTTAAATTAATTTTCTATCATTTTTCAATATTTGTCGGACTTGAACTCTGACCTTCCGAATGGCAGTACGCAATACACACATAAACGATGTATATAAGTATGTATATAAATAAACCAAAATTTCCTTAAGGAGTATATATTTTTGATTGGTGTGCGGTTTAGTGTACTGTGGTAATGATTACTATTTACTAGGATGTATATGTACATACGTGTATATTTATGAGTACCTCAAAGATACTATTGTATTTTCCATAACTCGCGTGATTTCTGAAGGCCTTTGTAGACGTATGTCAGGGCACACTCTTTATTGCATATTAAAATTGTAAGCTTTTAACAGTAGTAATGAGTTTCGAGTATTCCAATAGCGCTTGTAGCTCTGAAAGGGGGCACTTTTTAGTGTGAAATACAAAAATTTTATTTAGCCGATGATCAATGTGAACTAATCAAATGTTTATTAAGCTGGGTGCTCGTTGTTCAGTTGCAGCAACCTATTAAATAAGTAGATATGTATGTATATGGCAAATTTGTTTGTGATGATACTACTGGTGTTTTGCTCAAATGCTAAATTGCTATGAAATGTTTAATTTCGAGTTCTGCATTATATTAAGTGTGCACATAAAATATTAAATATTATATAAATGTTATTACATACAAATGTACATATATAAGTATGTATGTATGTATGTATGGATATTACCCATGTACAACATTTAGTACTTGAGCATAGCATTTTTAGAATGTTTTTTTTTTGTTTTTTTTTTGTTTTTTTTTTGTTTTTTTTTTCATTTATTATTTAGTTGTATTACTGTGTTCAACTCTTGTATTTTCACATTTTACACTCGTATTTGTTGTTGTAATTAAATACACATTTGTTCACAAACAGTTTTGCATTGATGAACGTCTTTTCAGTTCCTTAACATGGCATCCGTCTTTATGAGGATCTTCAATCTGATATGTATGATGCTATTAATCGGCCACTGGAGTGGCTGTTTACAGTTTTTAGTGCCAATGCTACAAGGTTTTCCATCAAACTCATGGGTATCAATCAACGAATTACAGGTAACTCGCTGCGAATGATACACATAAATAACGCAAATCATTTAAATAAGCACAATAATAATAATAAGTGTACGTAACTTGATTTGAAGGAGTCTTATTGGCTAGAGCAGTATTCTTGGGCTTTATTTAAGGCGATGTCGCATATGCTTTGCATAGGATATGGCAGGTTGGTTACCCCATTCGATATGAATCAACTTAGAAAAATGTGAAATTAAATTGATTTGCAGATTTCCACCACAGTCATTGACTGACATGTGGCTAACGATGCTTTCGATGATATCAGGAGCCACTTGTTATGCTCTTTTCTTGGGTCATGCGACCAATTTGATACAGAGCTTGGATTCGAGCCGACGGCAATATCGTGAAAAGGTGAAGCAGGTGGAGGAATATATGGCCTATCGGAAGCTACCACGTGACATGCGCCAAAGGATTACGGAGTATTTCGAGCATCGTTATCAAGGGAAATTTTTCGATGAAGAATGTATACTTGGTGAACTTAGTGAGAAATTGCGAGAAGATGTAATCAATTACAATTGTAGGTAAGCAATGAAAAACAAAAAATCAAATTTCTAATTAATATTTATCAAACATATAAGTCAAAGGGCAGAGTAACTAAAAAACTCTGTGAACGCGGTGTACACTTCGTACATGTACGTACATATCAAGACCTAAATAATTCAGAAAAAATGTGTTCAAAAATATGACGACAATTTTTATATTTTTACGACCGCGGAGAATGGGATTGACAAACATTTTTTATTAGGTCCGACGCGTTTTTATGTCCTTGTCGATTTTCGATTGTTAAGAGAAATAGACCAAAGAAAAGTCGCTGATCATATTGTCATATAGATTATGTCAATCGGTATAGTTGAGTTTCGAACAAAAGCAGCTACAAATGGAAGTTGCTCAGGAGTCACTATATAAAGTCGACAGCGATACAGAATTTCTCAAATATATTAGAACAGACAACGAAAAATGGGTTTACGGAAATGGCGTTGCAGTGGAGGCATTCTGGCTCGCCAAAACCGCGTCACGAAATTCCTGACATCAAGTCATAGGGTCGATAAAGAGTACTACCTACTAGAGCTCAAGATTTTGTTTGATCATTTTTGAGCAGCTTGTTCATTTGAGCAACGAGTACTCGCACACTCGTTTATTGCTCATTGCTAAAAAAAATTTCCGACTACGAGTTCGAGTACTTCCAACTTCTTCGAGCATTTTGAGCAATACATTTGACATTTTTTTGTAAAGTGAAAAACTCATTCAAATGCTAAAGAAATTTCGACAAACAAAATTGAAAATTGAAAAAGTTCAAAAAAAAAATTTTAGCAGCTGAGCAACGAACGACTGACCGAGTTTTGAGCTGCTCGACTGCTACTGTCACAAGTCCGAGGCCGTTTTCAAGGAGTGGCGAAAAACAGTTAATAACTTTTGCATAACGGTAATGCACCGGCTACACTTCATTGTTTTTGAATCAAAATCAAAAAATGAAAATTATCGATACTTTTTGAACACATCTCGTATATACCCAAAATTATTATGTAATGACTTTTTAGCAGCTCTAACCGATAAATTAAGTCAAACAGGGTTCTTACAAATAAGCAAATATTTCAACCGAAACTCGATCCGCAATTCGCGATAGCCTGAAAAGTTCGATAATAGAAATCAGTTAATAATAATAAAAAACAAAAAACACAATAATATACACACAGCAAATATTTTTAAAATGTTAATTTATGTGTTCATTCATAAGCCTCTCTACTCAACTCTTTATTCCCTGCAGATCTCTTGTTGCGTCTGTGCCTTTTTTTGCAAATGCTGATTCAAATTTTGTTTCTGATGTAGTTACGAAACTGAAATACGAAGTCTTTCAACCAGGTAAGACATCTGAAAATATTTGCCCGAAACAGTTTTTTGTTTCACTTTTTCCGAATTCATTTTATAATAACCAATGATTTTTTTTTTTTATTTTAGGTGATATTATTATAAAAGAAGGTACAATTGGGACAAAAATGTACTTCATTCAAGAAGGTGTCGTTGATATCGTCATGGCGAACGGAGAGGTATTTCAAAATATATTATATTTGTTGTTCATAAATTAGGTTTGTATTATGCATACATACATACAATATGTATGTACAGAATGATCAAACAGCCTCAATGGAAAAGCCAGAGGATTTTTAAATTTTTTTTATAGATTTTTGATTAAAAGCTGGCTTGTACTAGATTTAGAAGTTTATACGTCTTTCGTTTGCGTCACGTTTTGCAGACCCTAAGAAGCATGGGCAACTCTTTTATAGAATGCGGATTCGTTCATTATCCTAATATAAAGGAGAATTGTTTCAGTGTGCAGCCCTTTGATTTTCTCTGACGTTTTTTTTACCCGAACGACTGTGAGCGGACTGTCATTTAAAAAGTCCATTTCGTATAGCCCATAGTTTCTTCGGAGGCGACATTAGGTTGATAAGTCACATTTCTAGTTGCGGTCGCTCGTTGGTAGGGAGTATCAACCATTCCTTCCTTGTGTATTTGTATTTAGTTGTTATAAAGACTCAATTCCCGGGTTTGTGGTGAAACTTTATGGCCGAATTAACTTGTTGACGAAGAGCGTGAATATTATACATAAATATATCTATATAGATAGAGCACAGCTGTCTCTTACTCAGGCTCACATCGCCTTGTCAACATGGTCGGGTAAAGGAATGTCTATACCATTGTTATCCAGTGACATTCAGCAGTATAAAGAACTGTTCCCTCATTATACACTGTATACTCTGAACATTAGTACCTTGGCTCTTACGTTGGTATGCTACAGAAATTCTCAAGGAATTTCATATTCGCCAGCTTCTCAAGCTCTGCGTACTCACACATTTCGGCCTTGCGTGTCTGTCTGCAAATGCGACTTTTTTCTTAATTGAAATTGTTCGTCGTATCAGTTCTAGAACAGTGGTACATAGAGAGCTTCAAAAACCGCTCCACATATTTCTTATATTGATTTATTGTGGAGTACTTGCTGGGGACAGAAGGGCTAGCCGAGAACAAAATCGACTGACTGTCTATGATTACAACCTTTCGAAGCGGGTATGTATCTTTTCTGAGACAAGATAATGATCCGATATTAGGCCCACAGAAGATATGCCAATCTTGAACACAAAGACAGGTCTTTCGTCTGCCCCAAGCTGATTGATTTGTTTGCGAGATTTCCCATGCGATGACTAATGATATACCTTGCAGAATTTCCTTGTGGATGAATTTCATCATTGTTATGGCGAAGATACTTTGATGTCCAACCCGGTGTTGAAATCGAATAATTACGATTTTCACATCATTACCGTAGCAACGCTCAAATCTGTGATCTGAGCGTTCTCTTTGTGGGGGCATATGTGCAAATGAGTCATGCATTTAAAATTTGCTTTGATTAGTACTCTCTTTTTTTTAAATATATTTAAAATGATTTTATTTCGCTCGGTACCGTATTTAATTTTTTTTAGAGGTGAAAACTTTCACTTTTGGTTAGTGCCGTTCATTACTAAATGTATTATTTCATAGGTTGCAACTTCACTTTCTGATGGCTCATATTTCGGTGAAATCTGCCTATTGACGAATGCCAGACGAGTGGCCAGTGTACGCGCAGAAACCTATTGCAATTTATTTTCGCTAAGTGTGGATCACTTCAATTGCGTTTTGGATCAGTATCCTCTAATGAGGAAAACTATGGAAACGGTTGCGGCAGAACGACTAAACAAAATTGGGAAGAATCCAAATATTATGCAACAGAAGGATGAGCAAATTAGTAATCCAGAATCAAACACTATAACCGCAGTAGTCAACGCTTTAGCTGCCGAGGCAGACGACTGTAAGGACGAGTAAGTAATGCAAATTAGTTTAAAAATATTTTAATTATACTATCAAACCGAAACCACCAACCCCGCTTGCTGGGAAATTTATTCGGTTACTGCGAGATCATATTTTTATTACCCACAATTTTTGTTTCGTATCCCTGGTCTGAAGATCATGGCTTGAAACTATATGTAAGCCATGTCATTTTCCTCCGAATGTAATCGAGTCACTCTTATGCCCTGATGAGGACTGGAAGATAGAGCTGTTTCATTTGATTTGAGTACCCGGCCAGTCTATTCCAGCATCCTTCAACTTGGTTTGGAAACTTGAATCGGAAAGGAAGACCTCGATGTCAATTATTATTGTTGTTGTTGTTGTTGTAACCTCGAAAATATTTTGGGGAATGTTTCGGGAGTGACAGTACTTGGCCAGGTAAAAATGCGGGTTGTTTTGGCTTAAAGACCCGACTGTGGCGGGAAATATTGGATTTTAGTCGCTTCTACCGTAGAGCTCCGTCTTATGAGTTGCTTTCGGCTGTGGTTGCGGTAATATACATTCATATGGAAGTTACAAATTTATTTAGAAAAAATTAAAATGGGTGTGACGGAGTCGATTCACTTGGACTAGGATGAAGCCCGTTGTGGTACCACCATTTCCTAGGTTTCGCTATACATTTACTTCTATTCACAGAAAAAGCGCGCCGAGTCCTTTATTTTTACGTCAGCTACATATGTATATATGTGCGACTTCTTAGTTAATAAATTATCAAAAAAGAAACAGCTTAGCAAAGCAGTCGCACATAAAAGGAGTGACCCATTTTTGTTCCCCAACATTTATACAGCTCCTGCTGGACCTCCTCAAAGCAGATTCTTAACAAATGGAGTATTGCTTTTGATTGTCCAGTTAACAAAGTTTGTGTTTATAATACAAACTTCTATAAAGATTAACATTGGAATGGAATTTAATTTCTTTTTTTTGCAACTGCTTTTGAACATAACGAATGAAATTTCAAATATATTTGCAGTGATATCGATATCAAGGAGAATTTGCTTCACGGCTCGGAGTCCAGTTTCACAGGACCAGTTCAAACGATACGGGAAGGGCTACCACGGCCACGTAGCGGTGAGTTCCGTGCACTTTTCGAGGGCAATACTCCATGACACTGAAGCCTGGAACAAATTGGTACATAACAAGAACAAGAACAAACAATGCAATAGCAATTACTGCATGTGCTATACCGAGGGCGACGAAGACGAGCAACAATATGATAATGATAAAGCGTCAATAGGATGTACAGGCATCCATACATACAACTATAATACGTGAATAATCACACAAAGACACACACTTAAACATATTGTAAACATGTACTCGTACTCGTTATGAAGAAACTAATGTCCTCAGCAATTAATCATAATTTCAGCTCCGCTAACTGTGATGACTTTAATAATAAGAATCGAAATTTGAAAACTGGTGAACTAACTCTATTACATAAAAAAAATTCATACACACACACACACACACACACGCAAACATGAAATTAACTTAATACATACATACGTACATACATAAAATCGAGTAAAACCCCATATTAGTTATAATTAAATAAAATGTAGTAAAATAATTAAAACCAAATATATGAATATATGTATATACAGATACATATATATATAGCATATATATATCTATAGATTATAAATCACTCGCTAGTGTACAGGTTATTTAAGCATATAACGACGACGATGGCGACTCGAAGAGACTTCAACTACACTATAGAAATACAAACAAATTTTGAAAAATAAATATAAAAAAAATAGTATCATAAATCAAAACTAAAGCAAGAAAAAAAAATGCCCTACCATACTATGCAAATAAAAGCAATTTGCATGTTTGAAACACGCTGCATTGCAATTTAATAGCATTGCGATTATTACTAATGTTATAGCCGAAACAAAGTTAATTTACACAATGTGCAACATTCATTATACTGACATATAAGTAGATATAACGTAGCCTGAGCAAGGAAACAAAAACAGAGAATACAAAAAAAAAATTCACAACAAAAAAATCGAAAAATAGAGCGATCAACTAGTGTCATGCATACCAAATATTGTAAAACAACAATACCTAACACAACCTCGTTCAAACATACATACACGTATATACACTTACCTAAACAGACAAAAGCAAACAAAACACAACTAAAAACAGTGCATCCATATAAACAAAAATAACAGTAAATTTAATATAGAGAAATGTTGTCTTTTTATAGCAAGCTGTTATATTTTTTTAGTTGAAACGAAATATTGCAAGTTGTATTTGTTTAAACTTAGATCAGCGCGATGTACTCTGGCGACATAACTCGAAGTGATGAGAAAGAAAAGTGATGGACATATAAAAAAAAGCACATAAATACACACACACACATATGTTAAAGTAGATTAAAATCATCCAAACGAGACAAAGAGACAGATTATTGAGTATCTTAGTATTTTATTACACGTAAACTAATAAAACCAGAAGGACAACGTTTGCCTTGAAACGAAAAATATTTTCTTTACAAATTTCAAATTCCCAGGTAAGAAACTATTTGTTACCAACTCCCGAAAGTAAAATTACCGTTCACATTTGTAATAGCAAGTTTGTGAAGACTTGAAGTTTAAAAATGATTACAAATTACCAACACACATTTCCTACCTACTTTTGTACATATATTCGTTGTCAACTGAAAGATGTGTTACTAATAAAAGTGAGTAAATTAACAGGGACTCTGCTGAGTTATGTCCACTGTATATGTGTACAGTGGAATTCGTTGCCTGGTTTACTTTTCGTAGTGTTACAGGGAAAAACTATATTCATTAATAAATAAACCGAACTCCCATTTTATAATAAGTTTTTAATAAACATTTACATCGTTTTGAAGAAATTTTATATCAAATGTTGCAGCTGTAAATAAATATCCCAACGGAAAGGATTTGTTGTTAGCAATTGAAAAGGGAGTTTACGAATAACATCGGGTACGTTTTCCAAAAGATCCATTCTTCCAGGATGAAACATATGGTGATCTATGATCAACTCATAATCAATACCTTTATTTTGAAGATCAATTAATTCAGCAAACGAAGGATATTCGCCCGCTTCCAGCATAGAGAACCTATGACGAGAACAAAGAAAATTAGACTTATCTTGTTTTCATATGAAAATTTAAATCTCACGTTGGAAAATCTTCTCGTAGATGATGAAATCTTTGTTCACCCTGAAAATAGATTCGTTAAATTTTTAATACATCGTGCATATTAGCACCGAGATGTACAGATTTATTTGCATAGTATACGTACATATTATTTATGTACATACGTCTGATAACATATTAATTTAAAAATATTTATATTTCATACATATATACAAATTCGTCAATGAAAACAACAAACTTATATTTTAGGTGAAATAATTATGATTACAATATACGACATTTCAAGTTGTTAAAACAAACTTATTTTATAACATAACCGCATTTGTAAGCGTACAAGGCATTTAAATTTATTTTTAACTAAGAAATTATTGCATCTAGCGTTCAAAACGCTATACTTCTACAAATAAAAACTATCTTTGCTCTGCTAAGTGATTTATAAGCGCAAAAGAAATTGAATTCATCCTATGCGTGGACATACATATAGAGGTAAGTTAATGCAAACTGTTCACCTTTTCAGATTTCAACCATTCCTCATCATAGAGGGCAAATCCTTTATCCACCAGTTGCTTGTTGATTTGCACCACCTGTTCTTTATTAGTATCGCATAACACCATGTAAATTGTACGTTTCTATTAAATAACAAATATTATTTAGTATATGAATGAGTAACAAAATAAAAAGTATAACAATCATTACTTTCTCGTGAATTTCTGATATTTTTCCATAAAGCATTAATTCAAATGTCATTTCTAAAAACGCATGAATAGATTCTTGGCACCAGTGAAGATTTTTTGGACATATATAAGATAATGAGCCACGTATTGCTTGCTGTGGTAATTTAGCAAAGGACGTCAACAGGAACTTTATGTCATCTACAGATACTTCAGAAACTGTACCATAATCTACGAATAGAACCTGAATACGAAAAGGTAAGTTTTATATTAAGATAAATATGCAAATTAAAAAGTGGCATTACCTTAGCTTTATTTTCTATAACGGGAGATAAGATTTCAGCACGGTGCCATAGATTTTTATACAACGCCGCGCATACCTGGCCTGGGCATATACAAACTCGTGGAACACAAAAACTCCTGGGTTCAAGAGACGTATAAAAGTGTCTGGAATATACATAATGTTTTTGAATTTTTCTTAAGTTACGAAATACTTCCCACATACTCAATTTGAAGCATTAATGTATCCAATTCATTGTGTTCTTTGTAAATATGGAACCAAAACTTGTAGGGACTGTGAATCTTATAAAAAAAGCAAATAAATACACACAACAAAATAATGTTTATTTTCTCTCACCTCTGAAATAAATAGTCCAATGACATCGCCCGGTCTATATTTTTCTGGTAATTTATAGGATGGTATCTTTATACCAAAGGTCACTGTACTTTCTGGGAAATCCATTCGATAAACTAAGTTGTCCTGCAAAAGAAATTTTAAAATGTTATACTAAAAAAAATAATTAAAATGTGCTTACAGCGGCGTAGGCAGGTACTGCCTCATCAATATCATCGATTCTCTTATTCTCATAAGAAGAATTGTTTAAAACGAATGCATTAGGTACATTTAAAATGCAACTAGCGTTTGTTTCCATACTACTGAAATGTTTTGTATTCACTTTTTGTTGAAAATGAATTGCAGGATAAGCATCTTCTTTTTTCCAGATAGTTTTTTTTATTGCTTTTTGATTAGTTTCCTTATCATCTATTTTGCAAACATCCACAAGTTTTTGCAAAATAGTATCGTGCGCAATTTTCTGCGAGTCATATTTTTCGTTATCACTGGATTTTGGCTGTATAATTTTTTCCCGAGTTGATTTATTTGATTTTTCGGATATAACAATTGGCTCTTTATCAACTATTTGTTTTTTAACGGCATACTTCGCTGGTAATTCTAGTTCTTGACATTTGATTACCGAATATCTAGGGGTACTTCGATTCATAGAATAACTGAAGCGAATATTGCTTGTAGGAAGATTGTCACTGCTAATTCGTTTAGAAACTGGGTGTACTTTTTGTCCCGCAGGTTGTGGTCTGTTAGAGAAGTCAGAGTAGGTACCTCGTAGACGTGGTGGCTTTGCCTTTGGGCGCGTCCTGGCTTTTTTCTGCTGGCATACCATTTGGTGAATGTGATCACTTTTTTGATTACGTACATTACCAACAATGGCAGTCGACCCGCTACCGAACACCTATTAAAAAAATTAAATGAGAAAACAATTAAATTTCATTACAGTACTTACAGTAATAGTATCTGGTATTGACCGTAGGAACTCTTCCAACGTTTGGAAGCCGAGTTTTCTGTGTGGTATTTGAATACCTTCAGTGCTGCGATAATCTCGATTTAAGGCATCAACAGTAATATCGCCCGGGTATGACAATACCAATGATTTAATGACCGCTTTAACCTCTTGCAAATAACCGATTTCCATCGTGTTAATTTCGGATAAAACTTTAAATACACAGAATTAAAGAGGACACGCAAAAATAACACAAACTTAACTGTATACAATCGAGATGTGCTCCAAATATCATTCAAGATTATTTCGACTTACGATTTCAAGCTGTGCTGCCATATCCCGGGAAAATCGATAAGGGTCGATCATAACTAAAAACTTTTTGTTAAATTGTGAACAAATATATTACGTCGAAATGGCAAATATGATCATGAGGTGAGAAGTAGAGGCTTATTACAAATGTGTAATTCTCATTACCGAGAAGATATAGGCAAACAATCTGTACCTATATAAGTGTGAAAGGCTGTAACTACCCAACGCGCGTACCAGCCGTCCATAGTAACCTATTGTTACGATTTTACTAAATCAACCTCGATTATTTTCTAGATCCTTCGGGTACGATCTCTGGATTGTTAAATAAAAACTCGCCAATTCAATTTGCAGTTTCTTTCGTTATAAAGATTTTATCTAATGTCCTTTATT